GAAACTGAGAAGATGCACGAACGCTATTGTTTACGACACTCAGCCATGTCACTCAGTGTCTCAAACCACCAGTTACGATCATCCCGAAGTCCCCAGCCAGGAGGCCTAACGCGAACCGTGTGACCGAGTTTCCTAGTTAGAGTTTCCATACTCTCTTGCCAGGCCTTAGCTTGACCACCGTTGGTTTTATTCCACTCACTACCTGTTTTGGTAAACATCGGTCGCTATTTGGCGACATGCGTAACACATGCCCCAACCAACGTAATATATGGAGGTCGACCACTTGCTCTAATGAGTGATCGCGGCTACCTGTAACTCTACACCTAAAATCAGCATTTTTTATCCGGTTTCCCCTCCAGACTCGAGCAATGTTACGTAAATAGCGATGTTCGAACATCGACAGTCTCTGTTTATCCTATTTTCTCAATGGTCCATTCTCTGCACCGTGCAGCAACACTGTCCAAACCGCTGCGTCATATACTCGACCCTTCACAGAGAGCAGGATGTCATAGCGGCGCCGCAGCTATCTGAAGTTGGCAAATGCCAACCGACTCTTCTGTATGCTAGCTGACACTTCATCCGTAATGCTTCCACCGGATGAGACAGCTGCACGAATAACCAAACTTGTCCACTTACCTTAATACTTCTCCAGTTAAAGTGAGGCTGGGTGCTGGACAAGCATGGTGCCAACGCCACAAAAATAATAGGAGGTAGGTGGATTGCAATACTGAACAAGGTGGAAAGATGGCAGGACGGTTAAACGCGGGAAAATGTTAGATATCTGGGTACCGGACCGACCCAGTCTTATATCCGCATTTTATACTTTGAAGGTGCTGAACGCATACGGAACGTAGCTGGCACTCAAGCTATCCAGAACTGCTTGCAACTTAGCTGTATCTTCATTTAGCAGCACATTGTCGTCTGCATACTCCAGATCAGTCTGCCATCTGGAAGTAAATCGATACCACTATTGTTTAAGTGCAGTTCTACTAGCTACACTTCTTTCGATCTTGTACCTTATCTCGTAGATTTTGGCGCCCAATGACCGTTAGATATACCAGCCCTATAATGAAATATTTTTTACACGAATGTCTCCTACTGGGAGGTAATCCAGTTCAATATACCGCAGTGTTCCATAGAAACCCTCGGGGGTAGCCTGGTGCTAATTTGAAAATTTATTTCGAGTTTAACCTGATATTGCGGAGGTGTAGAGACCGTAGCCTCCTGATGAAATGCACCATTTACCTTGTAATGTGTGGCACACCGCCGTGTGCAATGCAAATGTTGGTAGCGTTTATGTTGTTCTTACATTGACCCACAACCCAGGAAACTTCAGAGCTCGGGTATACAAAAAACCAGGTGATCAATGTGCCTATTGTTGTGTTCGGACTAGACGTACGAATGACACGAACGACTCTTGCTTAAC